CCCTTAATTTTCTTATGTTTTTATTTTAAGAGTTTTTAGATATATTTTTTAAAGCCACAAACATCATCTTTAAAAACGAGACCAGACATTCAAAAAATTAACTTGCAAAACCTGGAAAATTGTGAAATTTTGAACATTCGAAATATTTTTTTTTTATATTTGTTCCGTTGACAGAAATTCGTTTTATGGTAGAAAATAGTTCTCAACAAAATTCGAAAATGGTCAATTCCAATCAATGTTCGATTTGACCTGGGTTGAGCCGCATGTGCATACATACATAAGCATCTGTGGTCTTTTAGCAAAATAACTTATCTCTCGGTGTCGACCATTTCTACCGAAAAGCAACTAAATTGTTGGGCGACCATGAAGTTTTTTTAACCATAACCTAAACGTGAATAAAGTTAAAAAAAAATTTGTATCTTCATATGAACTATGTAGTTAAAAATAAAACTTTTTTATGGAAGTTCATTTTTTTCACATAAAATTGAACGTTCTGTATTCACGTGTATAAGCTTTTCTGTAAAAAGTCCACAAATACATATGTATGTATATGTGTACCTGGCATATTGCATTTACCCTTTTTGTTAATTGCTCTTTTTTCGCCAAATTGTTGCGTAATTATGCCTTTATGTTTATTTGCGTAACATTATATCTTAATTGTATTTATTTTAAATTTAATTGAGCTGCAGCTTACGCTCGTGTTTAGCATTTTTTGCTCGGTGCTGCGAAAGTGTAACGCTGCCACATTTGCCTATAGATGTACTTTCTTTTTCTGTGTGGGTGTAATGTATTTGAGAAACTATTCTTTTTTTATTATATTTATTTACACATATACCTACTATACATATATAACTCTGTTAGTATATAATTATCTAATATTTACTTACATACACACATGTATACTTTATATACGATGCAGTTTTGTGTTTTTCAGCTAAATTTCAAGCCAAATAAAGTAACATTTATTTATTCGCACATACACATATATATTGTATAAACACTTTACATAAGTTTGTATGTGGCATCACAAAAAACGAGGTGTATTAAAATGTTTTTTTTTTCAGCTGTTCTTTCAGCAAAACAATTCAAAGCTCTATATGTAGTGTATTTGTTTTACACTTTTACCCACTTTTTACTAAAAAAAAATAATACTTAAATATTTTTTTGTTTACATTAATTAAAAATTGCCTAATTAACATTCAAGTGTTTCCTAATTCTACTACTGTTTCGCTTATTTTTTATTGCAAATATTTCTTATTGTACATATAGTCATCGTGTGTTTGTTGTTTGTTTTGCCTACAATCATTTCTTTACTTAAATTTCTATGTGAATTTGTAGCTGTGAGCAATTTACCGGTATGTAATTACCCTGCAAACCAAAGTTCACGAAATCTTTGCGAAATCTTAAGGATAAGAAATCTGATTTCTGTAACGATTTTTTTTAACGAATCTTCAAGGAGAATTATATAAAGCGGTTGACACGAACGAAATAAAGAAAATTTTGAAAAAAGTAAAAAAAAACATTATTTACATTTATTTACCGATTTCGTTTCATTTTAGAAAATTCGGCAAAAAAATCGGATGGATCTTTACGAATTCTTTAAAATTGCTCTACGATTCAGAATACTCTGAAAAAATGGTTTGCATGGTACATAGGTATGTATATATATACATATGTATTACAGTATATTATGTGTCATTAACGTTACAAATCACGTGTGTATGTATGTATGTTTTTATGTATGAATGTATTTACAAGTTCAAAGTTTAGCATTTAATTTATGTTAGTTTATTCACATTGCACTTATTTATGTATGTATGTATGTATATGTAGTATGCATTCGTGTCGATTATAAAGGTATTTGTGTGGACTTTAAAGTGAAAATATGAGTTTGATCTTTACTTTTGATTTAAGTTAGCCGCACTTGAGAAATTCTAAAGATATTTTTGTGTAAATTTGATTTATATTTAGGTATTTATTTATGTTCATTTTATATGTGTTTTGTATGTAAATGTATGTACATATGTAATAGTTGATAATAGTTTATTTAATACACGCATATGCGCTTGTATATATACATACGTATGTGAGTGTATTTGCGTTGTTTAATTGCAAGGTTTACAGGGCAGGCGAAAACGAATTATTTTCAAATTATTTAAATGACTTTCCCAGAATCCAACACGGAAAATGTATATTTAACTGAGGTGTTCAAATGTTAATCGAGTTAATTAAAAGTTAAAAAAAAATACACAAAATAAGTAGACAATGAAGTGGAAAATGCGTTTACTTAGCGCTAAATTATCCCATCGGCAACCTGAAGGCCATTTCGTGTCCTTGTCACGCTAAGCCAATAAGAGAGCTCCAATTCGTTTTTATGATCTACTTAAAATTGAAATCAATGTTGAGAACGCTAAAAGTTTTTTTTTCGCACGTAATCAGTTCAATGGCGGCATGATAAAATACGGTGTTCACTTAAGGTGGCCGATCAATAGTCCCACAAGTTGTTTGCTGTTGCATCTGCCCATACCTAACAAGACCATTTGAGATTGAGGGTAATATGAGTTTTGGCAAACTGCAGGCCATCAAAGCCTCTTAATCATTTCTCAGGAAAATATTCGCCCAGTTTGTAACGAATTTGCTTCGATGTCCAAAATTGGGGATGCTATAACTGGTTGTAGCTGGCCCTCGCCATACCTAGACAAATGATAAGATGTCCCATGATTACCAGGTGATCCTAAGTAACCTGTCACCCAGATTAATAACAAGTCCAATGTGTTTCCCGACACAAGAAATATAATCGAGACTTGCATTCCCGAATCAGTCTGGAAATAGTTAGACGGCTAGTTAATGTCTTGAGCGCAGCTTGGCTGCCACTAATGACACATAAACTTCTGTATCTCCACTAGGTGACTTATGGCCTTAAGGTTTGCAAATACCATGCGCTGGAATACCGATGCATATTTTCCAAGAGAAATTTCACGCTTATCGTAATTACCTGTGATTAAGACAACAAATCCCTTAACTGCGTCAGCACTACACTGGGGCGTCAGCTGCCACAACCTATCTTTTTGGATTGTCGTTTTAACGAAAACTTACCACCGCATGATGGTGACGTTGCCGTATCTTCTATTTATTTCTATAAACAGCACCTTTATATGTAAGTCATGGGCTAAGCTGAGACATGAGAACATTTAACTGAGTCACTCATCAAGAAATCACTGCTTCAAAGCTGAACTTTCCTTTACTTACCCAAAACATATTTAAAAATTATAACAAAAGATAATCATAGCTGCTAGAAGCAAAATATATTATTTCATTAGAAAAACTCAAAATCATAACAGAATGGAACCTTGATAATGCAGAATTTACCAGCACAACTTCTTTCATTGCAAATGTACCTACGTGACTGATGATAAAAGTGGAAGGAAAGTGATAAAATAAAGCTTTGCAAAGCTTTCAAGGCTCCTAAACTTTTTTTATCATACCCATTAGCTATTGTAAAAAAATCTCGTTTAATATAAAATCGGTTACATTAGCCGCCAGTGCGATTTTTGTGAAACGGCCAAGAGGCAGGCTTGGGCATTAGAGGGTTAATTATTGAATCATGGATAGGGACGACAAGTACCGAAAGGCGCTCCGTTGGTGGCTGGTTGAATTCTAATACATAAAAAGTTGCAATAGTGTACTGAACAAACTAGGAACCCATAGCAAGTTTACCTTGTAGTGTGAGCCAGATTATGGAGGCTTTGAAAGAAACAAAAAAAATGGTACTCTTGCGAGATGCAGAGCCCAACGGTGCCTGTATTGAACTCAGCCTGGTGTAAGGATTCTCTAATTAAGACAACAAATACGTATAACCAAAGTTATAAGTAGTGTAATGTATGTACGCAAGTGATCGCGGGTTAAGGATTAGAACAACAGATCATTAAGCCCTAATACTAATAATATTTTTTGATTTTTATTCTTTACTCTAGGTAGGTGCAAAATTTGCGTAAACCGTCGCGAGTAAATCAAGTCGAATTAAAAAGTAGTACTAATCAAAACAATTCTAATCAGCTGTTCCAACAACACTGCTCGTTGCTATAGTATGGGACCAATTTTGGATCATTTCGGAACCTTTTCGGGACGATTGTGCGGCTAAATAGGGACATCCTGCCTCCTGTTATCCTGCTACGATACTGACTGGTATCCTGTTACGATCCTATTCATCCATAAAGGAGCTAGGATATAATTTTAAAACTCAGTATTTAGGGGTTTTTCTTAAACTGGAACAAACCTTGAAAATACGAAAAACTGAAAGCTTTTTTTAAGAGGTCAAAATTTGTAAGAATTTAAAAAAAAACCCGGTTTGTTCGAAAAAATGCGGTTTATTCGATATTTGAAAAATCAAAGTTTTAAAAAAGCCGCCTATAGATATCTAAAAAAATCGGTGGACACCGGTTTGGAAGCTTAATATAAACAAACTAAAAAAAAAAGAAAATTGTTTACATCAACGCATCATTAAGTAGTCTTCATCTACATAGGTATGTATGTACGTAACACGCAACGTGAGAAGTCGCAACCTGCCATTTTGAAATATTTTTCATGTAAAATTGTACATTTTAGCCTCAGCGTATGCAAAACTAAATTTTTAGTTCGCGATTTTCGGAAGCCTTACAACTACTTAGACCAATTTTGATTCTAATACCCGCTAAAATACTTTTATGTACGTATGTATGTAAATACATTACATTGGTGGCATATTTTGCGCTTTTTAATTTGCATTTGGGGCTGCTTTTCGCACTAACACATTTAAAATTTAGTATTTTATTAATTTCTTTTGCTTTTTGTTTGTTGCCACGTTTGCATTTTATGATACACTCAATATGCGTTCAGTTTGTTGCTTAAAAATGTAATTTGCATTTAATTAGTATTTCGAATTTGTGTTTCCTTATTTATTTTATTTATTTATGCTTTTATTTGTTTGCAGTTATTTTTTGTAATTTTTGTTTTTTTTTTTGTTTTCTGTTTTTGTTTATACATAATGCATGTCATTACAGTATTTGTTTTTGTAGCGGCTTGCCTTTATTGTTGCCATCCAATATTTCAATTAATTTAATTATTATTATTTTTACATTATTCAAGTAATTCGTTTATCAGTTTTTGATTTTTTTTTGTGTTGCAATTTTTAGTTCATATTATAGATATTCAATTTAATTTATTTCTTCTTTTCACAAATTTCATTTTATGTGCAAAACCAACCTTTACTATTTTGTAGTTTATTTGGTTTTGTTGCGGTTTTTTTGTTGCTGTAATTTAATGCTTTTCTACTGGTATAGTTTGCATGCCGTATTGGTATGTTCATCATCCCCTCGTAGCTGCAGTTTTTCTGGCTGCTGCGCCGGCTGTTATTTGCTTAGCAGTCGTTGCTTTTTTGTTTGCCATCACTGAGGTTGTCACTAATTTATGTGCCGCTACGAGGTCACAGCTGGCGCCTTGTTTGCCGTCCAGCTGCGGCTGCTGATGCTGCTGCTGCTGCCACCTCCACCTCCATCGATGCCTTTTCCCACGCAGCGAACGCTGTCTGACTCACCAACAAACTCCCCGCCACCGCTGGACGCATGCCAGCAGCTAATATTATTAGCTGGATTCCATGGCCTGTGAGATCGCCCATCATGCCGCCGTGGCATACGCCCACCGCCAGCAAAGCGAATGCCAAGCCAATGACCGCGGTTACGCCTATCCGCTTCTTGCTGCTGCAGCTGCTGCCACTGCTACCCCCGCCGCCAGTGAGCGCCGAATTGTCTGGATCGCCGTTGATGCGCTTCGAGCCCTCCAGGCCCAGCAGGTTGGGCGAGATGGTGGTGGGCGGCGCTATGCTCAGCAGCAGGCGTTGTTGCACGTTCTTGTGGAAGACATGCAGTATGGAGACTTCGCAAAGCAGCAGAATGCTCGTCGTTTGGTATTTGGGCACCGTTTGGAAAAATCCCTGTAGCACCTGACTGTGTGGATAGATCTCGAGGGAAGAGTACGTGGAAGAGCCTTCAAAGGCAACATGATTAATGCGCTGGAAGGGGGTCTTGTAGATCTGCATAATTGCGGAAGAGAATGAAAAAAAAACACAAACAAAAACAAATCGTTAGAAGTTGGCGTGGCAGTGAAAATCTTGAAATCGCCTTTCCGTCACTTTACTCACCTTGCGGCCATTCATGTACCATGTTATATTAGCTGGCGGATAGGACGGTCCCACTGTGCAAACGGCCTTGAAGTTGTCATTCGCTGTGATGACCTTCTTGTCCACCTGCATGGCCGGCTCATCATTGGGCAGTTCGATGACCTGCATGTGTGCGGCGCGTATGTCGGTGTGGAAGAGTGGAGCATCTTCGGACACTTCGCACTGGTAGTTGCCGGTTAGTTCGCGATTGACGCCCTTTAGCGTCACCGAGGTGGCATCTGAATTCGCAAGCTGTAAAGAGTGAAGAGAAAATGAGTTAATTACTTGAGCATCAGCGTGGTGTGACAAAGTTTTTGTCGGGCATTCTGCCAAAGAAAAAACAAAAATAGTTTAATGAAAGTTGTTGAAAAGTTTTCAGCAAGTCACTGTCGGATTTTTCAAAGTCATTAACTTGGGCTGTGTGGTAAAATTGTTGTACGGCTTCATGGTTAGGAATATACTAAATGAATTTTAAGTGAAGTGGTGCTTTTCAATTTGGCATTGCCAAGGGGAGCATACAACGCATTTATTTAAGCTGTTCAAAGATTGTAATTATTAAACTCGTGTTATTAATCACCATATGTCCCAGTCGTGTGAGCACACAAGTGCGTCCTCAAATGTTCAACTTGAATCACATTTCTTACAATTGACATATTTACCATAAAATATCAAACAATAAGTTGGTTGAAAAAACCATGCTGCTTTTGGCTCCGCGAAAAGTTCCGACGTTTCTAAGGCCTTTGCTGGGCCCTTACTCAATTTAACATTTCGGCCGATCGCACATAGGGATGAATCGAGAATAGAGGATTTCGAAATATATATTAAGTTTTCAATATTCAAAATGGCGAATCAAATATGGCGGATGACTTTCTTAAAACACTAGCGATTGTTATGAAACTTGGTGTCCAGGGGCATTCATCGTCGCTGCTTTCGAAGCTGGTATTAAATTTTTAAAATTCAAAATAGCGGACCCAATATGGCCGACGACTTTTTTAAAATAATTATGGATTGTAATGAAACTTGATAGATAAGAAATCTCGGAGTCACTGATTACGAATTCAAAACTCGATTTCCAAAATTCAAATAATTATACATATGACGTATGAGTAAAATTTTGAATTTTAAAAACATAATAACAATTTCGTAGTTAGTGACCCTGAAAACCCTTGGATTAAAATGTTCATAATAACCTAGAATTTTTTTTTTTTTTAATTCGCCCGCCACATTGATCTGTCAATTTGAATTTCGAAAATTTGATATGATATTCGTAATCAGCGACCACGAATGCCCCTACCTACGAAGTTTCATTGAAATCAGTCAAATACATATGAAGTAAACATATCTGTCGTCCTAAATTCTCGATTCGTCCCAGTAAGCGATCCAAAAAAAATATGCTCTATTTAATGAAGGGGGAAACAGGGGGACGAGTTCTTAATATTAGTTGCGTTTTTTTACTCATTTTCAGTAAAATCCAGTAAGAGTTTTTACGAATTTTCATGTTTTGGCGTTTTCGTACGCAAAAACTTGCAAAGTAGGGGAAATTGAGAGAGCGAAAAATGACAGTTGAAGTTGCAAGTTTTTACTGGATTTTACTGGATAAATTTTTACTTGTAAGAATTTGCCAGTACGAAAAACAGCTGATTGCATGTTGCTGGATGAAATTTAAGCTAATAAGGAAACTGTTTGTGGGTTTTTATTGTTGAATTTCACAAAATAAACCTATTTAAATACAAAATATATTGTTTTATTAAGAATTTGCTGCGAATAAACAACCAATTTATCAGCTGTTCATGAAACTTGCAAATTGTTACTGGAAAAGCGTTCGCGTACTTTATGGCAAATTTTTTCTATGAGAGCGAATTCTTAGAAATAAAGTTACTGGAGAGTTGATGGCAAGTTACTGGATAATTTGTAAAAAAACACAACTATTTTTATATTGGAAATTTGTTGGATTTTCGTACTATTGAAGAGAGTTCACTGTACTCTTTGGAATTTTTTTTTATAACTGTAGTTATTATAAACAATTAAAAAATGTTTAAATAAAAAATGGTGTTTTATAAAAAACATATTATAACCATTCTACAAGAAAATTTATTACAAACAAAAATCGCAAAATAAAGTACTTAACTAATGCCTCACTATCCATTTTGACACAACTTTTATTTATTAATAAGAATAAAGTTATAAGCGAAATTATTTTGTCACCGCTTCAAACAAAAAATTATTTAATTCAACGTACGATAGAAAGTCCTTTTTTGGGCTTCTGCTAAAGCTACTGTGCGATAAGATTGAAAGAATTTTTTATTTTTTTTTTGTCGTCGTAATTAGTCACTTTGTCCTTACGTGGAGCATCATACAAAGAACAATTCTTGTTTGAGGCATTTTTACACCAAACCTAGCTAATTTTCAGAAACTGGGTTCGCATGGCTGCAGCCTTCACACGACCCATAAACTGCATACTGCAGAGTGACCCCAATAAAGCATAATTTCTTTATATTGTGAATCGAACCCCATGCTGGTTAATTACCGCATCAAGCACATGGCCTACTCACGACCAGGCCTAGCGAACGCGGGTACGAAGGCAGATATTGCATATAGTCGGTCAACTATAACGGCACACCCAGACGCTGCACTAAACTCCATTGTACATAATACATATCTAAATAGTTAATAAATTCTAAAACGATTTTTTACGTCTATAGTCTGCTGAGAATTTCGTCAGCTTTAGGGCCGGTTGTTCAATGTCTGATTAGCACAAGTCGGAGATAGAAGCTCCGGTTAAATACAAAGACTGCTTTATCGATCACATGTTATATGTTAAGTACTGATACCAGACATTGATCAACCGGCCCTTAATGTTCTCTCGTAAACTGCACATTTCATATCTGAAATTGCACAATTTTTCTTTAAAAGCCGTAAGCTTATTTAATTTTTAAAGCAAACCTTTTATTTTTGAATTCACATTAATATTAAACTTAAATATGCCTTACATATACATAACTTACATATGTAATTCGTAAGCTCTCAATTCAGTTATTTCAGTTTAAAAAAAAAGTTCAGTAAATTGCGCTTGTTTTTAATTGCAACTTGGACTGCCGCAAGCTTGAATGTGAAAGATCTACAACGCACTTGCGACAAACCGCACATACAGCAAACATACGCACCGGTATCGATAAATATGCGCATAAGTACAAGGTACATACATAGCTATAAATGTTTTAATTAACTTTGTTGGGTGAAAATGTCAGCAAAACCTGTACTACAACAATCAATGACCCAAAAGGAGCAATAAGAATGGCGTAACTACTCAGTGAAATGCCTATGCAGATGCATATTACAGCAGTAATAATAAAATAATCATTGCACATGTGTACTAGGAATGTTAATCCCGGGATCCCGGCCTTTTCAACGTCCCGAAAATCGCGGGATTCTTGGCAAATAATCCCAGGATTTTCGGGATTTGTAACTAGCACTGATGAGACATCCAAGGATCTCTTCTATGAGCGCTTGGAGCGCACGAACGAGCGCTGCCCCCACCACAATATAAAAATCGTGCTTGTCGAATTCAATGCCAGGGTGGGCAAGGAAGGGATCGTTGGAACCACTTCGGAAAATTCAGCCTCCACGACGAAACGTTCGACAACGGACTGAGGCTGATTTGATGAATGTCTAGCTCATTATACGTATAACAACCCGCGATAGTAAATTTTAAACACAAATATCAATATATTCGCGAAACTATGGGTCGAATAAATATAGTAAAATTACCTTTTTAGTTTTTCACTCTGACGTCGGTAATTCAAAAATGATTTAAAAAGTTCAGAAAAATGTCCTTAGAGAAGAAGTATGGGTATCAAATTAAAGAGGAAATCCTGTAGAATAAAAACTGATTCACATTTTTCGTGCAGAAGGACTGATAAGTATCGAAATTGTCCTTTTAAAACTTTATCCTTGAACTTTCGCAACATTTGCTTTTGAAAAAATTATATGTTAAGGACTCGATAAACTCGACAATATCCTCGAATTTCGTCCTTCTAACTTTATCGGCTTAAAAAATTATTTATTTGTCCTTGTGAATCAAAAAACTTTATTTTATTTTTCTTTTAATTCTAAAGAAATTTCCTCTTAAATTTGGTATCCATATTTTTATACTATGTACATTGCATTGAATTTTTTAAATACAAGGTCGTTTAAAATAAATCATGACGTCAGTGAGAAAAAATAAAAACCCCATTTTAAATAAAAAAGTTATTTTCAAACCCATTTATTTATTATGTATTTTATTCCGGGATCGGAAAAAGCTCAAAAATTAACATCCCTAACGTGTACCTATAATAATAACACATATTATTATACAAAATATATGGAGGCATCGAAAGGCGGGCGCTACAGGCAAGATTGGCGTCGCATTTTTGCTGTCTTTGCTTCTTGCATCTCCTTTGTTGCAATTCTGTTTCTGAGATGCAATTGCCCTTGGCTGGATGTCAATGCGAGGCCTACAAAAGCAAGCGAACGTAATTATGTCAATTGGATGAGTCCTTATGGTCAAGGCTATGTATTTTATGGTATCATGCTGTTGATGTTTGCCAATGGCGCAGGGTTTAATAGTTCGTACTCAAGTGAAGGAAAATGAAAACATCAAAAATGAGCATATACACACAGATATACATACATACATATGTACGAGTATGTATGCAGATAATGATAATTTAATTAATTAATTTACACGTAGAACAATAACCGCAAAAAAGGAAATTAGTCTGGAAACATAACTATAGTGCACCAAAGTCAGTTAACGGTAAGGATGATTTGATAAAAACAATTATATTTGCTCTCGGTATGACCATGTCTATGTACCTATGTATAGTTCTCCTTTACTTTAAATTCGCATATATGCATGTACATACATATATATTCATATATATACATATACATATATACATATATACATATATAATATAAACATATACGTACATATATACTTTTATAGCAGATTTTCCAAGGATAGTTATGGGTGAAAAATAATTTCGATTTAGCAATGAGGCCAAGCACCATCTGCAAGTGTTCAATGTAAAGTAATTGGGTGACTTATAGCTAAAACAGAAATTAAATAAAGCAAAATCTTTCAATTGAGAAATAACACAAATTTGCCTTATCGTCACAACTTGGAAACTTAACCTTTTTCGTGACAAATTCTAATATCTCGAGAAAAAAATTCAATAGCGTTTTAAGTTTCGGTGGATAAAACATAC